GAAACATTCCCTTTGAAATCTGGCACTAGACAAGGATGCCCTCTTTCACCACTCCTATTCAATATACTACTGGAAGTTCTAGGCAGAGTATTCAGGCAAGAAAACGAAATAAAGGGTATTCAAATAGGAAAGGAGGAAGCCAAATTGTCTCTGTTTGCAGATGACATGATTGTATATCTAGAAGATCCCATTGTCTCAGCCCAAAATCTCCTGAAACTGATAAGCAACTTCAGCAAAGTCTCAGGATACAAAATCAATGTGCAAAAATTACAAGCATTCCTATACACCCATAACAGACTTAAAGAGAGCCAAATCAAGAACGAAGAGCCATTCACAATTGCTACAAAAAGAATAAAATACCTTGGAATACAACTCACAAGGAACGTAAGGGACCTCTTCAAGGAGAACTACAAACCACTGCTCAACGAAATCAGAGAGGACACAAACAGATGGAGAAACATTCCATGTTCATGGTTAGGAAGAATTAATATCGTAAAAATGGCCATACTGCCCAAAGTAATTTACAGAATCAACGCTATCCCCATCAAGCTACCATTGACTTTCTTCACAGAACTGGAAAAACCACCATGAACTTCATATGGAACCAAAAGAGAGCCCGCACAGCCAAGTCAATTCTAAGCAAAAAGAACACAGCGGGACAGAGGCCTCAGAGGCAACACAACACATCTACAACCATCTGATCTTTGACAAACCTGACAAAAACAAGCAATGGGGAAAGGATTCCCTGTTTAATAAATGGTGTTGGGAAAACTGGCTAGCCATGTGCAGAAAGCAGAAACTGGGCCCCTTCCTGACACCTTACACTAAAATTAACTCCAGATGGATTAAAGACTTTAACATAAGACCTAACACCATAAAAACCCTAGAAGAAAATCTAGGTAAAACTATTCAGGACATAGGAGTAGGCAAGCACTTCATGAACAAAACACCAAAAGCATTGCCAATAAAAGCCAAAATAGACAAATGGGACCTAATGAAACTCCACAGCTTCTGCATGGCAAAAGAAACAGTCATTAGAGTGAATCAGCAACCAACAGAATGGGAAAAAATTTTTGCAGTTTACCCATCTGACAAAGAGCTAATATCCAGAATTTACAAAGAACTAAAACAGATTTACAAGAAAAAAAAAAACAAATCCATCCAAAAGTGGGTGAAGGATATGAACAGACAGTTTACAAAAGAAGACATACATGAGGCCAACAAACATAAAAAAATGCTCATCGTCACTGGTCATCAGAGAGATGCAAATCAAAACCACATTGAGATACCATCTCATGCCAGTTAGAATGGCAATCATTAAAAAATCTGGAGACAACAGATGCTGGAGAGGATGTGGAGAAAAAGGAACACTTTTACACTGTTGGTGGGAGTGTAAATTAGTTCAACCATTGTGGAAGACAGTGTGGCGATTCCTCAAGGCCTTAGAAATAGAAATTCCATTTGACCCAGCAATCCCATTACTGGGTATATATCCAAAAGACTATAAATCGTTCTACTATAAGGACACATGCACACGAATGTTCATTGCAGCACTGTTTACAATAGCAAAGACCTGGAACCAACCCAAATGCCCATCGACAATAAACTGGACTGGGAAAATGTGGCACATATACACCAAGAAATATTAGGCAGCCATCAAAAACAATGAGTTCGTGTCCTTTGTAGGGACATGGATGAACCTGGAGACCATCATTCTCAGCAAACTGACACAAGAACAGAAAATGAAATACCACATGTTCTCACTCATAGGTGGGTGTTAAACAATGAGAACACATGGCCACAGGGAGGGGAGCACTACACACTGGGGTCTGTTGGGGAGAATAGGGGAGGGACAGCAGGGGGTGGGAAGTTGGTGAGAGATCACATGGGGAGAAATGCCAGATATAGGTGAAGGGGAGGAAGGCAGCAAATCACACTGCCACGTGTGTACCTATGCAACTATCTTGCATGTTCTTCACATGTACCCCAAAACCTAAAATGCAAAAAAAATGATTTTTAAAAAAGACTAGCATGGTACATCCAATCACAGTAATTTCAGAAACAAAAAGTATAGAATTTATTGCTTGAATAACAAAACTAATGTTTTCAACAAACATTGTACTGATTTTGAAATATAAAAGGTTATTCTAATGAATGTGAAGTTTTTATTTTTGCAATAAATATTTACACATTGTAAAAAGAAAAGAAAACAAAGGGGAAAAGCTTCGTGACTCGATTGGGCAATAATTTCTTAGATACGAAACCAAAACAGAAGCAACCAACAAAAAAAGCAGGTAAGTTAAAACCTTTTGTGCCTCAAAACACAGTATCAGTAGAATGAAAGGAAACCCACGAAATGGGGAAAATATTTGCAAGCATGACATTTGGGGCTAATATCCAGAATATGTAAAGAACTTCTACAACTCAACTTCAACAGAACAAACAACCTGGCAAAGGTTTGAATAGACATTTCAAAGAAGATACACAAATAATCCATGAATAAAGATGTTCAGCATCCCTAATCAGTAAGGAGGAACAAAGCAAAGCTACTGTAAGACACTATTTCACACTCATTAAGATGTTTATAATAAAAAAACAAAACAGAATAGCAAACTTTGGTAGCTGTGAAAAAACTGGAATCTTTCTGCACTGCTACTGGGAATGTAGTGCTATGGAAAACATTTTACAGTTACTCTAAAAAATAAAAATATAATAACCATATGAACCAGAAATTCCACTTCTGGGATGCATTTCCAAAAGAATTGAAAAGAAGGACTCAAAAATGTATCTGTCTACTTAAGATCATTGCAGCATTTATTTATAATAGCCAAAAGATGGAAGCAATTCAAATATTCACTGGTGAATGAATGGATAAACAAAATGCGGCATATTTTTAAAAATCTCTTCAAAATACAGTATTATTCAGTCTCAAAAAGGAAGGAAATCCTGCCACATGCTACAAGACGGATGACCTTGAAGACATTATGCTACCTGAAATAGGACAGTCACAAAAGAACAAATACCACGTGTTTCCATTTATACAACATACCTGGAATAGTAAGATTCAGAGACAGAAAGTAAAATGGTGGCTGCTGGGGCTGGGAGGAGCAGGGATGGGGAGTCGCTGTTTCATGGCGACAGAGTTTCAGTTTTGGAAGAAGGAAAAAGTTCCGAGACGGATCGCGGTGATGCTGACCAGCAATGTGAATGTGCTTCAGCCCTCTGATTTGTACACCTTTCCGGGTTAAGATGATACATTTCATATTATGTTTATGTCTTACCACATTTTTAAAAAAAGGGCATGAAAGGAGAAAATAACAGCTATAATTTCTTTCCTCTTGCTTTGTTCTGTTTTTGTTTTGTCTGTTTCTAGTTATGTTAATGTAAAAATGCCAAACTGTTCTCAATAAATGACCTCCACGGGTTCTTGTGTGCCGTTTTCTCTTGTTGACAAACTTGAAAGATCTTCTGATCTCTCCTTCTCCTTCTTGACCCTGTCACCAGATAACTTTCCTCATCCATCTGGCCTCATCTGAAGCATTACTTCCCTGGAAAAGCCTTTCCTGACTTCCACAATTTATTAGGTCACCTACTGTTACAGAATTCTAAAGAATCCTTGATCTAATGCCTTCCGTTTCACTATTCTGCAAGTTTTAGGAGAATAAAATCGTGTTCTTGTGTGTTTGCATCTTTTTATTCTTGCAGCTTATGAAAATAATCGCTTTTTCATTTCTTTGCATATTAATGTTACCTCCAGGTTTTCAGTAACATAAATAATGAACAACTTGTATACTGATCTTTGCTTTCATCCCACTTCGCTCTTTTCTAATGATATATTTATAGAAACTGAATTGCTAGATCAAATGCTGTGTTCATCTGTGAGCCTATGGACACGTTCTCACAATAAACAGGATGACTTTTTCAAAATTACTTTCACTAGTCAGTACTTTTACAAATTATTTTACATGGCCTGCATTTCAATTAGTGAACATCTACTTGAAACTTCCATAAACTTTATCAAAAAGAATCATAGAGTGAATTAGACTTATCAGATTTTTTTACCTACTTTAGATGAATTTATTCACTATTTTTGAAGGAAAATTTTGATTTTGGCACACTAAGCTCAATAAAGAATATATATTTCTGCGCGTGCCTGTAATCCCAGCTACTCGGGAGGCTGAGGCAGGAGAATTGCCTGAACCCAGGAGGCGGAGGTTGCGGTGAGCCGAGATCGCGCCATTGCACTCCAGCCTGGGTAACAAGAGCGAAACTCCGTCTCAAAAAAAAAAAAAAAAAAAAAAAAAAAAAAAAAAAAAACAATATATATATACATTTCTATGATCCTACAGTGTGAAAAGTGGTCACTTCCTTTTAAGGAATCGGTTATCTCATCCTCAGGAACTCCAGAGCTGAGCAGGTGACAGCTGACCATAGTTCACACGGGGATAGGGCTTAGTGGTTCAAACGAGAAAAGGGGTCCTCTCCTGGAGACTGCGACAAGCTACACCTAAAGAGTGCAATACTGAAAGGCACCAGATCGGATCTCCTACCCTCCCAGTATGACATGGTTTTGGCAGAGTTGCTAAAATCCTGAGGGCAAGCTTAGTCTAGCAGCCCAAGGCTCTGTCTGCGAGACCCTTCGCCTCCTTTGAGTTAGAAGCCCACCAATGCCAGTTGAAGTTGCTATCCATCCCAGCCAAAGCTCAATGATCGGCTCCTGCCATCCCTCTTCAGAGCATGCACTTAGAAAACTTGGATTGTACCTGCTTTCTCTGTCCCTTGGAGTCTCTGTGTGTCTTCTGCAAGCCAGGAATGTGTTCTGGGAAGGCTGGGGCCGGGGTCTCCCTGTCTCTGCGGGTGGTGGGGGCACAGCTGGCCCAGCCTCAGCCCTTAATGCCCTTCCGTTTTTCGCTTTGGGCACACCGCCGGGTCACGTGGCCTGCGGTGTTTGTTTTGTGAGTAATGCTTGGGTCACACTGGATTGTTTCCCTGCCGCGGCCACACTGAATGAAACCTGCCCTACTGCCTTTAGCCAGCGCGGAGTACTGCTTCGCTCTGACATCTGTCTGCTCTCACGAATGTGTGCGCCACCCTGCCCTGCCCTAAGATGCCCTCAACCTCCTACCTGCCTGCCTGACCTCTTTGGGCTCTGGAACACACATCTGAGGAGCCTCTTACTTCAGGAAAATGCAATGACTGGTCGAGGTAAGAAGCTAAGATTCTGTGATGGGGGGTATGGGGTGCCTGTAACCTGCGGACCCCAATTTCAAATCACATTGGTCATCTATGTGAGGCCCCTGCCCTGGGGCCGTCCACCAAGGCTGCCGTGATATTCCTGGAGAGTCTGTCCCGCCGTGATGAGTGCAGCTGCGAAGCGTCCTTTCTGTTTTCAGTACCTTGTTTTGGGGAAGGGGGCGGGTGGAAGAGCTCTAGGCTTGTCCTCAAAAGTGTGTGCAGCTGCTGACATCTGCTCCATCTCACTCAGCTCAATGACTCTATTTGCTACTTTCACGTATATCTTTGTCTACCTTTAGATCCAATTTGAACTTTCAACTTCCTGGAAAGCTGAGCAAAGTAAAGAAGAGGAAATGGAGCAGAGGAGCATCGTGCTGTTTTCTGGAAGGTAAATGTGCACATTCTATGGAAGCTGAAATACCAGTAGTCTTTTAGGACTTCACTGGTTCACCCTGTTCTAATTCTAATTTCCACAAAGTCACAGTTGACCGTGAGTTAGACAGAAACAATGCAGTAACTATGTGATGAGTCCCTGTAGGTCGTAAGTTCAATAAAAAGTAAATGTGACTTTTCCTATATCTAAATCCACGAGATGAATGAAAACACTGCTCCATCTCAGTTTTAATGAGGGCATGATTTTCATATCAAACATCTCATAAGGAACACTGTTCTTTGCCATGCCCACTTGCAGTGAGATCTACATTTTAAAAAGTGACGTTGCAATTACGCTAGTGTTATTCCTCTAATGCGCTGAAGTGGATCATTCATACCCTGAAAAAGAATAATTTGCCGAGACTTCCCGTGGATCTGCCTATGTGGAGCTGGATGACAGCCATTACCCTACCTCGGAGGAAGTCCTTTTTAAGCTGAAAGTAGAAATTACAAGCAAAAACTGTGCACAGTGGGGAAAGTGAATGATGAAATAAAAATCTCTCTCAAAATATATGTCTACATTTTTTCATTATCAGGCTGGTGGCGTACAGTGGGATTTTAGAGCAGCTACTTGGAAGAGAGAGGGATGTATGGTAAGACCTGAGGATCCAGGGCAGAGAGCTGCAAATGAGGTATATATTGATATTTTTCAGCAAGCTGGAAATTTAGGACTCAAGAAGATGTGAACAGCGGTGTATTTTCTGTTGCATTAACACTAGACATATTTTTCATTTATGCTCAATTTAGAACTGAAGGAAAAAAAAAACTGAAGCCAAAACAAACTTCAAAAGCAGTAGAGGACAGGCATGCCTGCATATGAATTGCCAAAACCAGTGCAAGTATTGGTGTAACAAAATGTTCCTTTACTTCAAAAGAATTTGCATGGGAAACAGGTCAGAAGGCCACGCAGAGGGCTAGTGAAACTCATTCACTTTGTTTTAGCTCCTGCCTTCTTACAACTATTACTTAAAGTTTATATTCAATGTATATAATAATATACATTGCCTGGGAAGGAGCGCTTCTTGAGTTGTATTTTGTGCTACATGTAATTGACTGCATTTCAAATGCCGTACAAAAATTTTGTGTGTTTACCTACAAATAATCAAGACTGTAAAGAAGTCCATCCCTTCCAGAGATGACGTGGGAAGGGAGGAGGATGCAGTGATCAGGAACCCCCAGAGGATGGATGGATGGTAATGCCTTCCATGACTTGCAGATGGTCACTTTCCAAATCATAATGGCCGGGTGTTTATTTCACATCTGTATGCATGAGGCTGTTCCAAACACTATTGAAATGACGCAAAATAAAGCCATTCCAAAGTTTTGGGGAGCGCATTGCTTCTTTCCAGAAGCCTGGTGGTCTAGACTTGGTTCTGTGTAAACGCTCAGAGTTCTGTCTGCACAACGACCAACAGCGTTGGGGATGTCCCCTGGGGAGAGCAAGGCAGGAGAGTGGATCTGGTGAGTCGCTGATCTAGACTTTGGGTCTGATAAAATACAGCAATCTCCTCTGAACTCAGCATCAGCTGATGAAAATGTTGATTTCTACTTTTTAAAATTGCTCATACATTAACATCTATAAAATAGTGTAGGGCTAAAAAATGTACTAGAAAATGTGGAATGTTTAAATGGTAATCTTTTTTTTTTTAATTATTGTAACAGTTCTTTCAAATGACTTGGTATTTGTTCATTCAAATTACATTACTAAAAATATTGGACCAACAACTATAATATTTGTATGGAAACATAATTTACCAAGCATTTTCCCATGTATTTTTGGAAGCATTCGATTACATTTCTGGATAACCAACACTGATTAAACTAGCAAGGTGATGCTTCAATGTGCTTGTCAACATAGAAAAAGTCTCCCTCTCAGTTCTCTCTCTGTCAACGTCCACTCTCTTTCTTCTCCTGCTGCCCTTTTCTGTGCTAACATTTTCTGAATAGCCGTATGGTGTACGGAGGCTCTGTGCAGCATTTAAGAAATATTTGACAATGCCTTTGAACTTAAGGAAGATCGTCATAGGACATGGGCAGTGGTCATCACTCTTTACATTTATGTTGTAATATTTAAGGAGCTTATTTCTCAGCAATTATTAAGTCAGATTTAAGAATGTAGTAATGCATACAGGATGGATTTTTACTTAAGATAATTAAACTCTATATAACCTTTAAATGTTTCAGCATGACTACAAATGCATAAAGAAAAATGAAAAATATAAATACAGAGTATAGAGAGTAATTATACTGGAAACATTCAATGGACAAGTCATCCAGGTTAAGAAAAGACATTTCCAGTAGTACAGAAACCCTCCTGTTTCTTGTTCAAACAAATTCTCCTCCACGCTGCTAGATATAACCTCTATCTTGAATTTCATCATAATCAACTTCTAGCTTTACTTATTTTCTTTCCAGTGCATATATATTGATGTTAATTACGCTATGACAAAATTATATATTGAGTGTGTTCTGACTGCTCTACCTACCAGCTATTCCCCATCTCTGCTTCCCCTCAGATCTTCCTATTCTCTGAGACAATGCCTGAAGAGCAATATTGAAATTAGGCCACCTCCCATGGCCTCTAAGTGTTCAAGTGAAAGGAAGAGTTGAATGTTTCTCACTAAATCAAAAGCTAGGCTGGGTGCGATGGCTCACGCCTATAATCCCAGCACTTTGGGAGGCCGAGGTGGGCAGATCGCAAGGTCAAGAGATCGAGACCATCTGGGCCAACATAGTGAAACCCCATCTCTACTAAAATATAAAAATTAGCTGGGCGTGGTGGCGTGCATCTGTAGTCCCAGCTACTCGGCAGGCTGAGGCAGGAGAATTGCTTGAACCCAGGAGGTGGAGGGTGCAGTGAGCCGAGATTGTGCCACTGTACTCCAGCCTGGTGCTTGGTGACAGAGCGAGACTCTGTCTCAAAATAAATAAATAAATAAATAATAAATCAAAAGCTAGAAATGAGTATGTCTAGTAAGAAAGTGTTGAATGTTTCTCACTGTAAATCCAAAGCTAGAAACGAGTATGTCTAGTAAGGAAGGCATGTTGACAGGTGAGACAGGCTGAAAGCTAGGCCTCTTGTGTCAAACAGCCAAGTAGTGAAGGAAACTTCACAGAGGAGAGTTTTCGAAGGAAATTAAAAGTGCTGCTACTCCATCGAACACATGAATGATGAGAAAGTGAAGCAACCTTATTGCTGATATGGAGAACATTTCAGTGGTCTGGATGGAAGATCCAATCAGCCACAACATTCCAGTGAGCCAAAGCCTAATGCAGAGCAAGGCCCTCACTCTCTTCGATTGTGTGAAGGCTGAGAAAAGTGAGGAGGCTGTAGAAGGAAGGTTTGAAGCTAGCAGAGGTTGATTATGAGGCTTAAGGAAAGAAGCCATCTCCATAACACAAAAGCGTCATGTGAAATCGCAAGGGCTGAAGTAGGAGCAGCAGCAGGTAACCTGGAGGATCTAGCTCAGATCATCAGTAAAGGTGGCTACACTAAACAAGAGACCCCAGATGTAAACACATCGGCCTTCTGTTGAAAGAGGATGCCAAATAGGACATCCATGGCTAAAGAGGAGAAGTCAATGCTGGCTTTAAAACTTGGAAACAGATGCTGCCTTTCTTGTTAGGGACTAAAGCAGCTGGTGACTTTACGTTGAAATCAGTGCTCATTTACCATTCTGAAAATCCTAGGGCCTTAAAGAATTATGGTAAATCTACTACGCCTGTGCTCCAGAAATTGAACAAACCCTGATGACAGCACATCTGTTTACCCAATGGTTTAATGAATACTTTAAGTTCATCGTTGAGATCTCTTCAGAAAAAAAAAATATTCTTTTTAAAAGATTACTGCTCATTAACGATGCTCCTGGTCACCCAAGACCTCTGATGGAGTTGTACAGGGAGGTTACTGTTGTTTACGTGTCTGCTAACCACAAAATATCCATTCTGCAGTTCAGGGATCAAGGGGGCAATTTGAAGTCTTATTATTTCAGTAACACATTTTGTAAGGCTATAGCTGCCAGAGATCGTGATTCCTCTGATGGATCTGAGCAAAGTAATTTTCCAGTTGAAAATGTCTGGAGACGATTGACTATTCTAGAGGTGATTAAGAACATTTATGATTCATGGCATGAGGTCAAAATATCAACATTAACAAGAGTTTGGAAGAAGTTGACTTCAACCTTTATGAATGACTTTGGGAGGTTCAAGACTTCAGTGGAGGGAGTAATTGCACATGTCGTAGAAATAGCAAGATAACTAGAAGTAGAACCTGAAGACATTGCTAAATTGCTGCAATCTCATAATAAACTTGAACAGATGAGAAGTGGCTTCTTATGAATCAGCAAAGAAAGTTTTTGAGAGGAAATCTACTCCTAAGAAGATACTGTGGACATTGTTAAAATAACAACAAAGGATTTAGACTCCGACATAAACTTGGTTGATAATGCAGCCCAGCAGCAGTGTTTGAGAGGACTGATTCCAACTTTGAAATAAGTTCTGCTGTGGTTAAAACAGCATCAATTATCATTTTATTCTACAGAGTAATCTGCCATGAGGGGAAGAGGGCATTGATACTGCACACTTTTTTATTATCTTATTCTAAGAATTTTCCACAGCAATCCCAGGCTTCAGCAATCACCACCCTGGTCAGTCAGTGGCCAACAGCACTGAGGCAAGATTCTCCACCAGCAAAAAGATTATAACCTGCTGAAGGCTCAGGGGATCATTGGATTCTTAGCAATAAAGTATTTAATTATGGTATGTGCACATATTAAATATGATGTTATTTTACACGTAATGGTATAGTGTAAACATAACTTTTATCTGCACTGGGAAATTTTAAAATTTGTGCGACTCATTTTGTTGCAATCTTTGCTTTATTGAAGTGGCCAGGGACTGGACCCACAATATCTCCACAGTATGGTGGTATAATTATTCTTTTGTGTCTTAATCTTTTCACTTGACATTATATATGCAAGAGTTACCCCTATGTTGCGGCTATCACGTATTTTTCTTTACAGCTGTAGTATTCCAGTTTATGAATACACCAAAGGTTATTTTTCTTTCCTAGCATTGATGAACATCTGGGCTCTTTTTCTATTTGGGGCTATTGTAAACATGTTTCTGGAAGACCCATGTATGTATTGCCTGGGGCTCATTGCTTAGTCTCCAAAGACCCCAGCCTCTCAGCCTTCACATCTCTGTGTAGCCTCTACTTCTCTCTCACCGTGCATCATATCAGAGTTCGTCTGTGTGAACAGGAGATACAAGCGATGGGCTGACACTTCAGAGATTCAAAAGTCTGCAGCTCCGTTTTGGGCATTTGCTTGCTTACTCACCGGCTCACCTGTTCTGACTCTCCGTCTACCTCTGTTTCTCTGCCTTTATTTTTCTTTCTCCTCCTTCTTTCTTTCTTTTCCTCTCAAATATCTTATTCTGGAGAAAGCACCTGCCGTGTTGTTTGCAAACCTATGGGGAGACCTACGTAGCAGGGAACAGAGGTCTCTGGGCAACAGCTACTGAGGAGCCAAGCCCCTCTTAGCCTAACCAAATAAATACAATAATGGGCTTGGAAGCAGATGTTTTTCATTCACCCCTTGTCATGAACTCAGCCCTGGCCTGAAAGATTAACTGTAATCTCATGGGAAATCTTGAGCCAAAGCAATGCAACAAAATTTTTCCCAGAGTCCTTCACCATAAGAAACTGTGTGAGGTAATCACTGTGTGTTGTTTTCAACTTCTATGAGATAAATCTTACGCAGCAATACATAACTAAAACTACAGTTGTTTCTGTCTGACACATGCCCAAGATTGAAATTTGGGGACTGTAGGTTTGTGTATCTTAAGCCTATTAGATAATGAGAAATTGGATTTTCAGTATGATATCTGTGATCATCCTTTACTCTATACCATCATTAGCAAGCCTTAGCATTGCCAGACTCTAGATTTTAGACCATCTGATGACCGTGTAATCATGTCCCAGTGTGGCCTAATGTGCATTTCTCTGACTAGTAATGAGATAATACGTTTTCCCCTATTTTTGCTTACCATTTGGCTTCCCTCTTTTTTTAAGCAATTCCTCAAGTCTTTTGGTCATTTATCTGTTTCTGAATATATAAATAGATTCTTTCACGTTTTATTTAGGTTTTTAATCTATATGCAAGCGATCTATACATACAATACAAGGTATGGACTTCCTTTTTTCTCCATATGGATGCACATTGATTGATAAATTTCATCTGTTTCTTTTGGATTAGCAAATGTCCTTGAAGCACAGCACTTATGAATGCCGGA